CATTATGAGCACTCAGAAACACAGTTAATAAGAGGAGATAATATTATAAGATGTGTACAAATATTCTAACATTAACACAAGAAGTTTTCTAAATATTTTTTTTCTTTCTGTGTCAGCCTCTCAACCTTGGTGTTTTTTTGTGTGTAAAATCTCTGCAGGCTCTGGGCTGGAGTTCCTGCTGGTTCTCTGTGGGCTCAAGTTCTCCTGGTCCTGCCCTCGTCACTGCATCTGCTACTCGGCGCCGAGCACCGTCTCCTGCCAAGCCCACAACTTCCTGTCGATCCCAGACGGCATACCTCCCGACAGCGAGCGCATCTTCTTACAGAACAACAAGATCCATCGCTTACTAAGGGGCCACTTCAGTCCCAACACTGTCATCCTCTGGATCTACTCCAACAACATCACCTACATAGAGCCATCAACCTTCCACGGCTTCTCATTACTGGAGGAGCTGGACCTGGGAGACAACCGCCACCTGCGCTCGCTGGCTGAGGACACCTTTCATGGTCTGAGCCGCCTCAACGCTCTGCACCTGTACCATTGTGGTCTCACGTCACTCCCAAACAACATCTTTCAAGGCCTCAGAAACCTACAGTACCTATACTTACAGGTAAATGTCCCTCTTAGGTTGTAATATTTTGGTCAAAAATACAAACACAATATAATTTGTACAACTAGGGATGCGCTAACACTATACATTTTTTAAATGTAGAAATACAAGTACAAGAATGATACGAGTACTAGTGCCATTGAAGTTATTTTAATTATTTTTAATTGTAATTGTGTGAATATCAGAGGTGTATAGTAACTAAGTACATTTACTTTGTTACAGTACTTAAGTAATTTTTCTAAGAATTTGTAATTTTACCAAGTATTAATTTTTTTTGTTACATTCAAAACGTGAAAATGATATTTTAACTTTTTAACCTTAAAATTTAAGACCTAGTGACATTAAACAATTCAGCAATTTACTTGATTTGGTTTAGTAGAACCAGTTTGGTTAAGTAAATTCAACACTTTGTTTCTTAGCGTTAATTTACTTTTACTCTTCCGATTATTGGGAGCAGTTTTATACGTATAAGAGGCCCTTTAGGCCATAATTCATACTTTTTATGACTTTTACTGAAGTATTTTTATTATCAGTGAAATCCAGTTTTACCAATTTATGTTAAGTTATTTATTCTTTTACTTGTTTATTCCTTTCAAGAACTTTATATACCTCTGGTGTATATAAAGACAAGCAGCAATAGTTGTTTCTAAAAAGACCATCTGTATGTGGTGTGACTATCAGGAAGCTCATGCTCAGATCCTTAAATTCCCAGGGCCTTCCGCTAAGTGAAAGACTGTTGCTGTTCCTGACTGCTATTAGTTATCAACGCTTTTAACTCAATCATGTTTGTTTAGATGGGGGGTATTTTCAAAGCGCTCGTGTTGAAGGTTGACAACTTTCCTGAGCATAATTTGCGTATCGCTTTACTTTTACCACTATACCTTAAAATACCTCCAAATCTTTTTTCTTCTGGGGATGTTTATTGGCCTTTTGCAAACAAATTATTGAGGGCAGCCAACTTAAAATGACCTTTTTGCAATATTTTATACAGCTGACATTGCTTTTCCTCAAGTATTGGTACTGTGGTAATGGAATACTTTTATGTGCATTAGTATGAGTTCACTAGTTCATGCACACAATATCAATACCCTATAGTGGTACTACTACATCTCTAGCACAAACCCAAAATATAACTGACAGGCTTTTGTTATAAAAATAAGAACTAATATTATATAACAAAATATTATGTAAGTATCTCAAACTTAAGCACAAGAAATGACAACAGCTCTTGAAGTTTGAATGTGACCTCAAAATAAATGTTTAGGCCATTTTGTTCCCTGGTTTGTGCGCCTGCCCTGGATGAGCCTCTGTTCATAAACTCTGACTCAGACCTTTATGTTTGTTGTTGTGTTTTCAGGAAATTTTAAAAGTAGGTGAAGCAGCTTGGCTTCTGTTGCCAACGTGGCATTAATAAATCATGTGGCTGTAACCCACCGCACATAGTAGGGTGCAGCATTCCTCTTAAATATTTTACAAATGATTAATCACTGACACTGTGGTTGCTTTGGTGCTGGTGAGGGAAGTCTCAGACTGTTTTCTGTTTAAATAAAAAATTTAAAAAATTCTTCAAAAACGTGTTTTTGGTAAGATTAAATGATGGCTAGGAGAACTTAACCATCCGTTTCATTAATGGTCCCAGTATGCCAAATGACTGCTTCATCAAATCATGGCAGATTTTGGAGAAGTGGTTCAAGGTGTCCTTTGGCATCTGTACTCTAATTCACCAACAGAGGCAGGCGATGCTTATAGCATTTTTTTTTTTTGCAGTATTTACTCAAAATCAAGCAACATAGTCCTGATTTTTTCACATTTGCAAAAGTTAAAGTTTATTTTGTAATTCTTTATTTAATGGTTTACATTCAATATTTATGGTTTAACTTGCAATTATATTCAGTTTGTCCCATTTAGCCATGAAATCTTTCTGTATAGATTTGTGTTTGTAAGGAGTTCTGAAAAAAACACCCCTCGAAGACACAAAAAGGAAAACAATTCTTACATCATACGCCATGAAGATGTCTTGAGTTTATGCAAAGTTTTTTTTTCTGCCATGTCTGCAGTACAGTAAAATGTCTTGAGTCACCTCTCTTTGGTTAGTTTGTTTCTAAAAAGCCAGACATAGCAGGATAGTGGTCCTCGAGGACAAGGATTGGATGCATTTTTCAAAGATTTTCTTTAGACTTTGGCAGTTTTTAATTTAACACGCCACTTAACTCTGAGCTATTATTAAGTCAGGACTAAAAAATGTTCCTAAACCTCAAGGCGTGAACCAGTTTTGCATCTACAAATAATACAGACCCAAAGAACCAATTATAAATAGGGTCTTTCTTGTTCATTGCAGCTTGTTACAAAGACAGTTTGTTCTCATTTCTTTAGCTTCAGTTCTATGAAAAACACCAAAGATAAGACAGTTTAAAAGGCAAAATATTTTTTAGCACCAAGAAGGTGATTCCCAAAGAGCAATTAGCTGTGAACTTGTCAAACAGATGATTTAGTAAATGATGACGAACATTTCATGACCAATTCCTTATTTGCTAAAGATCTTACTTTCAGATAGTTTCAGCTGTAGAATCGTGTTTTCAGGCCTTTCGGTTTTTGTTTTGTTTTCTGCCTTTCTACCTGCACACTACGCTTCCATGGTCAGATGCAAGAACTGAGCAGAAAATGTGAAATTGTAAGTAAAGTGCAAACATAAAAAGATCATTTGAAAGCCTAGATTACTGATAAAGACCACTTTAAAACATTTTTAAAAAGTATAACAAAGAGCAAAAGGTGCTTTAAAAAGTTTGAACAAAACAATTATTCTAACGGTAGCTGAAGCCTAACACACCATGTGCTGCTGATTCCTAAAAATGTATTTTTGGCATGTTTCCAAAAAGAAGAAAAAAATTATTAAGTGCATTAATCCCAGAAAACTTTGAAGAATTCACGTTGTATGTCTCTCTCTCCTCAGGATAACCATCTAAGGTATCTGCAGAATGACACGTTTATGGATCTCCACAACCTGAGCCACCTGTTCCTGCATGGAAACCGTCTGTGGAGCCTCAACCAGAACACCTTCAGAGGCCTTCGAGCCCTCGATCGCTTGCTTTTACACAAGAACCAGATCGAATGGGTTGATCGTCTAGCCTTCCACGACCTGAAACGTCTCACTACCCTCTTCTTGTTCAACAACACCCTCACAGAGCTGTCTGGACAGTGTTTGGACACGCTGCCTTCTTTGGAATACCTACGCCTGAACGACAACCCCTGGTCATGTGACTGCAAGGCCTTGTCTCTGTGGGAATGGTTGAAACGTTTCCGGGGTTCAACATCGTCGGTGGATTGCCAGGCCCCAATTAATATGATCGGTAAAGACCTTAAAGAGCTGCGCAAGGAGGACTTCTCGGGCTGTTCACCGATCATTTCTGAGTCCAGAGCTCAGACTAATAACTTATCAGGTACAGTGAATCCATCTATGAATCGAGGCGTGGCGATAGGTTCTGGAGGGACCCACATCGTGCACCCCTCAAGACCTGGGCCTCCTAAAAACTGCACCAAGCCTCGTAATAGAGTGGGCAAGAAGAAGGGTGACAACGAGGTTCACCATTCAAAGGAGGTCATGACAGACAAGGAAGACTCCTCCCCAGACTTCTCAGAGGGAGGTAAACATGACCACACGTCCCCATACGGCACAGTCACACAGAGAAAGCACAAGTGCTCTCCTCGGACCACTGTTCGTCCCCCTAGTGGGGTCCAGCAAGCCAACAATAAGGCGCCCTTATCTAAGTCTTTACTACAAGTGCAAGCCCTCTTTGTGGCCTTGATATTGACAAGTATTGACTACATTCTCCGCTGACCTTCAGAGGGTTTAACAAATGCTAATCAGAGAGAAAAAAAGCACATCAGCCCTCAGACCTTCTCTCGCTCCTGCACTGCAAGGCCTGTGTCTTTTATGTATGTGTGTGAGTGTGATTATACGTGTAAATGTTCTTGTTGGGGGGCTTTATTGTTTAAGCTGAAGCAAATATCAAAGCATCAGTCATCTACAGGAGGACGATTCAGAGCAAAAAATCAGAGAGACTGAATAGGAAAGAAGATGAACGCAAACTCAGCTTGCACTGCCAACGCCTGTAGGATTTCATCACCATACATTTTGGTGTCCTTTATTTTTGATAACTTTTTGTTAACGCAGCTGGAGCTCGGAAAACCAAAATTTAAAGAAAAGATTGGGGAAATGTAAGAAATGACAAAAGAAGGAAAGTCAACCTCACTTATTTGTTTATAAAAGTATTGAAGTGATTCTTGAGTTTGAAGTGTGTAAACGTACGCGTAACGGTAATAATGGAAAGTTGATGAACCTGTGAAGCCTCCAGTGCAACTTTCATGCTTTCTTCCAAATGCCTTTTGTGTTCTGACTTTTGTTAAGAACAAATATGTGAAAAGTAAGTATGCCAGCAAATTGTCAGGTGATATGAAACAAAAAAAAAATCATTTTCAGAGGAAAAATCTGTTGCCACTATGTTTTATGGCCATAAATAGAATGTCCATTAAACCTCACAGTATGTGATCCTGTATCTTTTTTTCTCTTTCTGCCAACATATTAATTTTCCTCTTACGTCTTCATTTGCATAAATTCTCCTCTTTGCATCTGAAGATTAAGCTGCTAATTGTTTCGAGACGACGACAATTGCCATTTGCTATTTTCATCTGCTTTGAGTCTTTGGGGAGTCAAGCTGTGAATAACGAGGAGTCTGTCTTTATCTTGTGTCAGGTGTTGTTCATTTGAGGGTTTTTTTTTCCTGAGACACATAATGGACCTAGAGAAATATCCCTGCTTCAGGGCCGACGGGAGCTTTAAAGGTCATATGGGGATTTCTCAGCATCACGGTGAGGCTGTGCCGAACTGCTTCCTCCTCAGCGAGGACATCTCATCCTCACTGAGAATAGGAGAAACATCTTTTTTACATATATATATACTTAATTTCAAAGGCATACAAGACTATTAAAAAAGTGTGCTTGCATAAACAAAAAAAACTTGATCAATAATCGATCAAAGAACACTTTGAATGGAGCAAGTCCACCTGGGATCGTGGAGAATTCTGCCTCTTCTTTAAATGGCGCAATTGTCTGTGGATGTGAGGATCCAAGAAGAAGACAATCGCTTCAGAACGGAGGAAAATGCGGACTTGTAGGAAATTACAACACGTCTTGCTGTTCTTCTGGAGCTTTCGTGCCTCCCTCAAAGTACGTTCTGAGTCAACGGTGTTTGTATCAATGTAACAATGGAGACAAGGGGACATCCTGCAGTGCTGGTATTAAACATTTACTGTATTAATATGACAAAACAATATCAGTGACATCAATGATGATAACAGGGTTTTCTGCTCCTTTTGTGAAGAGGAGTATTTCTGTTTATGATTTTTTTTATTGTCCATGTTATATTTTTAGAACCCTCTGTTTGTTACCGCACAGTTCCTCACCCCACCATGTTCTTGTTATGCCTATTTGTCTGTTTCTTTCTCATAATTTAACTGTTCAGTAAGTTATCATCAAAAACAACAGCACAATATTGTTTATAAAGATATTAAAATCTATATCTTCTTATGTCTAACATTGCCACGTGTGTTTCTTTTTTTTTCTTTCCTGAATTTATTTCATGTGGAAAGACTTTTCTTTCAATTCATTCAAACCAAAAATTGATTCTGTCAGCATATTTAGCTTTTCCCACCCTGCTCCCACTTTATCTTTGCTGCACTTCGCAATGTGTCTCTCCTGATTAGGTACTGCTGCCTAAACGCTTTTGGTCTCCAACAAATAAACCTTAATTCTCTTCCTGTGAAACATTTATTTTATAAAACTAAATGTGAGTCTGTTGAACAAACATGTTAAACACAAAACAAAAGGAGGACAAATTTGATGAAAGATTAATTTTGCAGAATGTGTTTTGAAAGGCATCATTTAAAGTCCTAGAATATTATTCAAAATATCACAAAGGAGCTGTAGATGTTAGACTAATTTTGTTATTATCAAAGAGGTAGTTCAAATCTTCTGGAAAGAGGTTATGTGGAAAGGTTACGTAGTTTAATCTTTTGCATATAGCTCTTTAAAGGAGACGTATCGTGCCTTTAAATCTTTCTTATTCACATTTAAATCATTTAATTGGGGTCTATATACAGCGGGTAAAATAAGTATTGAACACGTCAACATTTTTTCTCAGTAAATATATTACTAGAGGTGCCAATGACATGAAATTTTCACCAGATCTCGGTAACAACTCAAATGATCCATACATACAAAGAAATCAAACCATAAATTCCAGAAATGAAGTTATTTGTAATAATGTGGAATGGCACAGGGGAAAAGTATTGAACACATGAAGAAAGGGAGGTGTAAAAAGGCATGGAAAGGCAAGACACCAGCTGAACTCTCTCAGTAATTAGAAAGCAAGCCTGCCCCTTGTCAGTGCAAGTTAATATCAGCTGGTTCAGACCCAAATGATGGCCAGGTATCACACAAGAAACATCTGATGATGGGTAAAAACAAAGAGCTCTCTCAAGACCAGGCCTGTCGCGATAGTCAATAAATCAATTAATCGCACGATAACTTTTTTTG